CCCCAAAACCCCAAAACCCCAAAACCCCATAGTTCATCTAATACATAGCTTAAGGAATTAATCATTATTGAATTTAGAAAAATATATAAGATTTATATTGAATGGAAAATCTTATTTCTCTTAAGATAAAGAATCAGATTGATGATTATATAATTCTAGAGGGTAAATCCATATAAGGCAATCAAGGTCGCGTTATAAAAGTCTGAGAGAAGCATGTACCTAATGGCGAATATGCTTTAAAATATCAAGATCTGAATGGTTTATTGAACAATTAAAAGGAAGTATAATCATATGAGTTCCATAGAATACTAAGAGAGATCTCAACTTTTTCACTTAAGCATCCTAATATAGTTGAAATAAAGGAGGCTTTTCTTATAGATGGAGGATAAATAGCAATAATAAGTGAACTTGCTGGGTTTAATCTAGAGCAATACTTGGATTAATATGGTCCAATTGACAATTAGAAATTAGCTATGATCATGATTTAAATTGTTAGTGCTCTTGACTATATACATGAGTAAAATTTCATTCATAGAGATATATCGCCAGACAATATCTTAGTCTTCAATAATGAAAAGTTTAAGATTTGTGACTTTGGAGTAGCTTCATATGGCTCAATTACTTTTGAATAAGTTGGTAAAAGAGATTATATGGCACCGGAGATTCTACTGGCTGAGGATGGCTATGATAAAACTTGCGATATATGGTCTTTAGGTATTTTACTCTACTACTTGTGTACTGCGCAATCAAAATATCAAAGCAATAGCTTATTATTTTCAATTAGAAAGAAGAAGAGTATTGTCTTACCCAGCATATACTCCTAATTTCAAGGTCTGCTTAATAAAATTCTTTAGATTAAACCTCATAAGAGACCAGGTTTAAATGATATAAAGTAAGATCTAGCCTCAATGATTCAAAACAAAGAAAATTATGTCGAATATTAGAAAGAAGTTCTCTTGTACGAGCTTAATATTCAATTGAATAAACTTAAAAAAAGCTAGTCAAAAATATTTGATATACTTGAAAAGCATAGTGCTCTAGATATTTAGAATTTACATCCAGAAATCAAAACAAATTGCTAATAATTAGACAAGATATTATAAGAATATTATATCCAATTAACCTAAATCAAACAAATGGATTTCAATAACTCATAAAATGAAAGCAAAGCAAGTGTAAATTTAATGAAGTATAGACTTAAGGACTTTAGCAGTTATAATAAATTAGAAAAAATTTTAGGATAAATTTAAAATTAAGAAGATTAAGGCTACAATGATGAGATCTAGTAAAATTTAGACAATGAACATGATTTCAGTCCCTATGTGATAAAAAAGTCTAAGAAAATAAATTAAACTAGATTGTAACGAATAGTAAGGTTTGATGATAATATAATAGCAACTGATGGTTTAGCCAAGCTTTTAATATTTGATTAAAATCTAAACGAGCTTTAAACTCTTAAATACTAATGCTCAATGTTTCTCCAATAGAATGGATAATTATACTTAATTGGCAAACAAAAGATTGAAATTTTAAATCTCAGCGATTTTAATGTCATGACTGATAAGAGCCTGAATACTGAATCTAAAATATCCTAAGTAGCTTAGTTTTAAGACAATTTATTAATGATATGTTAATATGATGGATTTGTCTAGCTGGCTAATTCTGAGAGTTTTCAAGTACTTCAAACATTTTTCATTTCATAATGGCAGGATTTGTTTTCACTCGATATATGTAAAATCACAACTATTAGTCAGTAGAATCTAAATGAAATCAGATTTGCAATAGGAATGACTCTTGGACTGTATATTATAAGATTCATTCAAATGGATAATATGTAAAAATTCGAATTAGACATCTTAAATGTCATCAAATCAGATGTACCAAGCGGTTATTCATCTTTGATACAAGTCAATTAGGATATTCTAGGTGCTATAAATAGGAATATGCTAATACTTTATGATTTTAATAATTACTCTCAAGTACAATAATTATCCTTAGGTAGTGGAAGTTAAATTTACCCAACAATAGACTATAGCTATATTGATTATCCTTATGTCCTTATAAAAAATGGATAGAGTCTCAATATTCTAAATCTAATTACTTTTAATTAAGAATATCTTATTTCTAATACATCATTATCAGCTGAAAATAATCAATCTGTAATTCAAATGAGATTAGAAAATTGTGATTATAGAAGAGATTATGGAAATAAATACCTATTATATGACATTAGCATATAGTAAGAATATGATCTAAAATATACTTTATAAAACACTATTTCTCAAATCAGAGCAATTGAGGTACAGATGCCTTAATTTCCTCCTGTAAAATATAAGATTCAATAATTAGATTATCTAAAAAGCAGATGATTTAAAAGAAAAACTATTTTTAATAATTTAGTTCCAATTATATTAGCATTTTAGGTCATTATAATTTAAATATTTTTATTCATGTTGTCAAGATTATTTTGAATAAATATGTGGGGTTTTGGGGTTTTGGGG